AAGCTAAACCTCCCTTGTATTCACATTTCTAAACCTGTTGTCCAACAAAAGAGAACATTATAACCTTTTTACTCCACAACACCAGTCAAATGCTTCCTTTTGTGATCTGATGTGGCTTCTTGTCACAGAATGAGGCAGAAAATATGTTCTATATGCTACTTTAAAAAGAATACATCGATTAGCAATAAATTAAGGTGACCATACGTCCTCTTTTCCCCGGACATGTCCTCTTTTTGGACCTACAAAAATGCGTCCGGCCGGGATTTCTTAATTGCCCATAAGGTCCGGGATTCGGCTGTTTTCTTAATCCCGCTCTCGCTGAATCTCTGACCATTTCCGCCTGCTCCCGCAACATGTGTTTCGCTCCCGCGATTTTCGTGTCCACTTCTTTAAACATTCTAATATTGCATATAATTTTGGCACATCAGGGAGCCGCTCTCAGGATGCGGTGTATTTAAATATTTTTGAATGAGTGTTTGCACTGTTTACTTTCACTTTCGATTTTGCAATCACACACACTCTGTGTAAAGGGAGCACATCTTACAAGATCAGATATTTGTCATGTTTCGCTCCCGCGATTTTCGTGTCCACTCCTTTAAACATTCTAATATTGTGTATAATTTTGGCACATCAGGGAGTCGCTCTCAGGATGCGGTGTATTTAAATATTTTTGAATGAGCGTTTGCGCTGTTTACTTTCACTTTCGATTTCGCGATCGCACGCACTCTGTGTAAAGGGAGCACATCTTACAAGATCAGATATCTGTCAATGAGTTCAGGGTCTGTTGAGCAGCAAATACTCAAGCATGATCTTGTTAGTCATCTCTCCTTATTCTCGACCTGTGATCAGTCAAAGCTGACTCCCGTAGCTCTTGTTGGATGCAAGGTTGCCAAGTCCGTGTTTTTTCCACAGAATTGGGCTACTTTTAAACTGTTGCCATGGGTTGATTTTCCCAAGTGGGTTAAAGGTTTGAAATATTGCATAAATTACATTTGACTGAAATGCTTGTATTGAAACATTTTGCATTCTACCTATGATAAAACTTTCATGGACTTCTACATTAACTGTTCCCTCCTGGTGGAATGACCTGCCCAGCTCAATCCAAGCAGCTGAGTCCTTAATATTGTCAAGAAACGGCTGAAAACACATCTCTTTCGTCTTCATTTGACCCTCTAACTCTAAGCACTCTCTATTCTAATGCTACTTCTAATTTTATCTGCTTGTTTTTTTTTATTAAAAAACTAGACCCTCTAACATATGCACTCTCTATTCTATTGTTTTATTTATAAAGAAAGAAGAGCCTCTAGCATTCTCTATTCTTTCTCTATTCTTTCCACTTATTTTCTTTTTATTTATTATAAATAATGACCTTCTAACACTAGCATTATCTGTATTCTTTCTACTTGTTTTCTTTTTATTTATTATAAATAATGACCTTCTAACACAAGCATTATCTATTCTTTTTCTGTTCTATTGAATTGTTTTATTTTTATTTAAAAATGACCCTCTAACACTAGCATTCCCTATTTTTTTTCTATTCTTTCTACTTGTTTTCTTTTTATTTATTATAAAAACAAAATAAGCAAACAAACAACAAAAAAAAAACCTTGCTACATATACTGTTAGGTGAAGCCACCCCATGAACCCTGCCAATCCATCATTTTTTGGGGGAATTTTTATTTTATTTTTTTTTAATAAGTATCGGTTCAGGCACCGTTTAGGCACGGAACCGTTTTAAAAGTATCGATTTGGCACCGGTATTGAAAAAAACCCAAACGACACCCAGCCCTACTTATGACTGGTTTTGTGGTCCAGGGACGCATATTATTTAT